ATTATCTTGTGCAAAATATGCTTTTCTCTTTTAATTTTCACTTTGTGCAGTACTTTGATAAAAAGAATCACTTCTGTTGTCATTATTTGCTCTTTTCCAGTGGGTTTTCCCTATATTCCCTGTGGGTTTACCCTATTTTCGAATAGACCAATCAAATCAAAGTATGTAAAAACCGTGTYAATTGAAATCCCTCSATTTACAGCTTATTTACATCATCTGTAAATATTCTGAAAATATAGTGTAAAAACTCTGTAAATTTGCTGTAAATATATACAGTAAATATACAGAGTTTGTAAAAAACGTGTAAATTTGCCGTAAATATCCGGTATCTGCATTTCCAGTATATTTACATAGTCTGTAAAAACTCCGTAAATTTACTGTATCTTTCTTGTAAAAACTCTGTAAATTTCCCGTAAATAAGATTTACATACTTTTTACAAACTTTGTACAATCCCTGTACATTTGATGTAAATAACATGTATGTGTCCATAATTCTGTAAATTTTATTTACGGTATTTTTACATAGATTTCACATCATATTTACAGAGTTCAAAACGCACGATTTTTCCAGTGCATGTGCAGTGTATTACCGTTAATTAGAATTCTACAGCATGAGTCCGCACGGTTACAAAATTTCCAAAAACCCCTGATTATTGCTTAGCACATGTTCATGGTGGACGGCTAGATTTAACTTGCAAATCTCAAAACTCAACTGTAAAATGTCTTCGGAAATTGCTGAGGACATCTCGTTGTACACGGTAAAGTTTCGCTTCTTAGTCACGAAATTGAACTGTAAAATGTCTTCGGTAATTGCTGAGGACATTTCGTCGAACACGGTAAAGTTTCACTTGTTACCATGACATTGGACTCTAATATGTCTTTGGTAATTTCTGACGACTTTTTCATATTTTTTTTTTTCGATTGGTGAAGTTAAATTGTACAATAATTAATCAGCCATCAAAAGTTTACTATGGTAATAACATGGTATTTTAATCTGAAAGCAAAGTTACAAAAAAAGATTTATCAGTTTATAATTAAAAATAGTCAATCATTTTCTTCTTGGACAAGTTTTTTGGCTTTGATAAAGAACCTCTCCCGAGTTGCATTGCCTTTACACACACGAACAAGATTCGCTTTGGCACTGAATGCCGCAAGGAGGTCTAGAGCAAATCTAAAATAAGAGAGAAAACATGCGATTAAAACCTACAAAAACAAAACATAGAAACAACACAACATCGTACAACACAACATAGCACAACACAAACAATGAACAACTATAGTAGATAAAGTAGAATATATTTTAAAATAGTTTCATGTCAAATTACATAAGATAATTAAAATAGCAAGAATTATCTCGCTATAGCCTCCGTAGGCAGACATTTTAGCTGTCCGAGTTAAAATGTGTGCTTACGGAGGCTACTCTCGCTGTTGATACGTTATTTTTATGAAAGAGGGAATTCAAAGTTTAAAATACTACAGTCGCTTGCAATTAATCAAGACAAGATGGAAAAGAAAAATCAGTTTTTACAGAATTTTCTTGCTGTGCCTGTTAAACTGGAGAAGGTAAGGTATTACAAACTCAAACAGACTAACCAACTCTCTTTGCTTATTATCTTTTGTTTTAAATGCCCAGTATCACTATTGATGTTGATTTCTGTGCCTATATTTGATGCCCATTTAGCTGAATTTAATTGCTTTTTATATAAACAACACAAAAAATTTAAATGATAGCTTTTGTTTGATGAAGAACTGCTAATATGTCAGCTGAACATTGAAATATCTGCTAAACAGTTACAAATTTGACCGTACTTACTAAAAGGCGCAATGACCTACAATGAGCTACAATGAGCTACAATGAGCTACAATGAGCTACAATGAACTACAATGACCTACAATGACCTACAATAAACTACTATGACCTACAATGAGAGCTAAAATGAGTAGACAAGCACAGCAGAATGTGATTTTTTGCCTTATTTTTAATTAAATTTTCGTTTATTTCGGCCGCTACGATCATAACGAGTGTCAAACTCAACCAAAAAATTACAACTATTATATGATGAAATAAACTTATAACATAATAAAAAGTACCTTCAACTTCAATTGCGTACCTCTCTGGGGTCGTAGAGTCTAATGTCGATAAGGAATTTTATGTTATCAAACGGT